AACCGAGTTGGCTTAAACCTGGGTCCACTGTAATTCTGATTGCTTTCAGACAAAAGTACCTTGAAACTGAGCTCAAATAGCAGAATGTTCAATTCTTAGTGATTTCAAGAGTAAACAAATGACGTCATGTCTAATATCACCATTCGAATTGAACACGGATTATCAAAGGGTTACAGTATAAAATACATACTAACAATAAAGTAAAGTAAACATGAAATACCATTATAAAACAATAAAATTAAAGTCAATAAAAAAATGTTTTGTTGATATTCAGTAGTAAGTTAACTTAGGGATGGTTTTCGTCAGGAACGAACTTGGTCGTATGTCGGATGGTAGGTTGTACATGACATCGCATATAAATATTGAATGTTTTCATATACTTGTACTTTGTAATGTGTTTCTTTGGGCCCATGGTTGCTATATTTTGCAGTTATACTCAATCAATAACCACAAAAAACAATAGATTATAGCAAAATGTTTGGATGAATGAGCAGAAGCCTCCTCACTCACAAGAGACAAAGCCAAACGGGACTCGCAAGCGGCCCCAGCCAAGTGATGGTTTGCCTCCAAATGGCCGATAACTCGAATTAATGGGCGATAACGGGGCCAATAACCGAGTTGGCCTATAACTGGGGTCCACTGTAATTCTGATTGCTTTCACGACAAAAAGTACTGAACTGGTCTCAAAATAGCAGAAATGTTCATTCTTTAGGGGATTTTCAAGAGTAAACAATTGACGTCCTGTCTATACGTGTGTGCCTGCAGTCCAAATTCCAATACGCAATAAAGAGGGGTTTGGGACATTATTTATACAATTATAATAATGCAGTAGTCTGCTAACAGCAAATCTATTTTTTGTGTGAATAAAAATTCCAAATGGTAAGAAAGATTAATATAAGAGGGGCTGGAGCTGTGACTAATGAACAGAGGAATGTTATTTTAGTGTCAGGAATGTCTGCATGTGTTTATTTGGACCCTATTTTGTAATTGGCATCTTTGAAATATGTGTGAAATTGGCAAATTGCCAATTTCTGACCACTTTATTGGGTAGTTGAAACAGGTTAATGGGAGGTTTTTGTAGAGCAGACGGCCAAATATAGCAGGAGAGGTAGTGGTAGTAGTAGTAGTAGTAGTAGTAGTAGTAGTAGTGGTAGTAGTAGTAGTAGTAGTAGTAGTAGTAGTAGTAGTAGTAGTAGTAGTAGTAGTAGTGGTGGTAGTATAGTAGTGGTAGTAATAGTAGGGGTAGTAGTGGTAGTAGTAGTAGTGGTGGTAGTAGTAGTGGTGGTAGTAGTAGTGGTGGTGGTAGTAGTAGTGGTGGTAGTAGTAGTGGTGGTGGTGGTAGTAGTAGTAGTAGTGGTGGTGGTGGTGGTAGTAGTAGTAGTAGTGGTAGTGTGGTGGTGGGGTGGTGTTAGTGTGTTGGTGGTGGTAGTTATGGTGGTGGTGGTGGTAGTATAGTGGTGGAGTAGTAGTGGTGTGGTAGTAGTGGTAGGTAGTAGTGGTGGTAGTAGTATTTCAGTAGTGGGTGTAGTAGTGGTTTGTTAGTAGTAGTGTAGTGTTGGTGGTAGTAGAATGGTGAATATAGTAGCAGTAGTAGTGGTAGTGGTAGTAGTAGTGGTAGTAGTGGTAGTAATAGTAGTGGGTAGTAGTAGTGGTAGTGTATGTAGTAGAGTATATTAATATTAGTAGTAGTAGTAGTAGTCGTAGTAGTATAGGTAGTATGGTAGTAGTAGGGTAGTATTTAGTGTTAGTGTAGAGTGTAAAGTAGTAGTTGTAGTATGTAGTAAGTAGTAGTATAGTAGTAGTAGTAGTTGTAGGGTAGTATAGGGTAGGTAGTAGTGTAGTAGTAGATGTAAGTATGGTAGTAGTAGATAATACTGGTAGTAGAATGGTAGTTAGTAGTGGTAGTAGTAAGTGGTAGTAGTGGTGGTAGTAGTGGTGTAGTAGTATAGTGGTAGTGAGTACGTGGTAGTAGTTGTAAGTGGTAGTAGTGTATGTATGGTACGTAGGTAATAGTATAGTATGGTAGTAGTAGTAGTGGTAGTAGTAGTGGATAGTAGTAGTAGATGGTAGTAGTAGTAGTGAGTAGTTAGTAGTGGTAGAAAGTAGTGGAGTATGTAGTAGTGGTAGTTTATAGGGGTAGTATAGTCATCATAGAAACTGTTTCTATGAGACTTCTGACAACTTCTCTAGTGTCTGAGTGTTCTCATTTACCAGATTCTTCTACAACCACAGCTTTCATTGACTGAGCAGGGAATAGTCATGTTTTGCATATCAGAGTGCTATTTTGTTCTGTTTGACCCCAGTGGCTTTTAGCACTGCTATTTTTTTATAGAAATTCTTAATAATATGAGGAAAAAGCCTATATTCTTGCATGGTGAATGAGGAAAAAAAGGCCGATAAGCAAGATTTTGTGCTGATACTGGTCACGGGAAGTCCTCTCATTAATTCATTTCTTTGTTGCTTATCTGTCTCCCTAAGAAACCAAGATCTGGATAGGTTACAGTGACTTCAGCTGTTACTGATAATCTTCTAAAGAGAAGTATTGAAAGATTCTTGTATAACAGAAGCAGGACCACAGAAAAACCAACCTGATTTACTGGGACATGTATCAGAAAGGCCTATACATCATTGTCTCCAGAAAAAACTTAAAATGCCATGAACTCAGTTTAAGTTGCAATAAATGACTGTCAATGAATAAACTTGAATTCCAGCCAAGAAACCTCTTCTAAACAAATGCAAGCCAAACAACTGCAGTTAGCAACACTGTACTACTAAGGACAGAATTCAAATTATGTGGAGTTATGCATGTCAAGGATGAATCAGATGCCCCTCATTGAAACACTAATGGAGTGATGATGTGGAGCTGCTTTAGGTGATTAAAGGTCAAAGAAAATTAAACCTCTTGCCCAAAAATACAACAATGAATGGAGCCTCATGCCAAATGCCAAAACAGGTCAAGAAATGGTTGCGAAAAGAACTTCAACTAAACTTCATTGACTTGAGACTGAGGGAGACTGACACCAGTCAGTCCATCTATCATCATTCTGTCATATAGGAGGAGCCACATGTCCATGATACATCCAACAAATAAGCAGAATCTTAGATGTCACTACTGCCAGCTCCAGCTGGGTTACAATTATCTCTGAGAAGTTAAATCACCACCAACAGATGTAGATTAAATGAAATGTAAACTTTACCCAGTGGACAATTGTCATACCTTGCATCATTATGTATTGGAATGTGATAAAATTAATGAATTGAGATACAGCTCACTCAAAAATTTTTCAAGGAATGTCAAGAATTTTATCCACATTGGTACATTATCAAGCCATTCTGGAAAAATACCAAATTTGGCCACTGTATATACTGCATTACCACTTTTTTTTTTTATTGCGTGTGTGACCTAATTCATGCTGCATAAATAACTCATTACAATTGTGACCCAATATAACCAGGGCGAATTAAGAAGTTCCGGGCCCAGGCTATTCAGATTGGCGGGGCCCCTTGAGTTACGGGGAGCGATAGTGACCCTTCCAGCTTGGCGAGTGGGGGGGGGGGGGTCGGTGTGAGCCTGTTTAAGGTCTAATTAAATACATTTGGCTATTTAGTTTAAAATTTTTAATAGGGAAAGTACATCAAGACAACCAAAACCATTTACCAACAGCCATTATAAACTATCTTGTTAAATCATGCAGTTTAAAGAGAATAAACTCAAGACAGTGTAGTATTACTAGATTAGGCTATTAAAGTAGTGACATCATGTACCTATTATATTCAGCATAACCACTACAGCACTATTATTCCCTTTATAAATCACTGACCATTATTGTTATCATTGCATCATGCATAAGACTATCAAATCATATAAACTCAAGAAAGTAAGAATTGTTTATATTCACAGGCACTTCTTAAATAAACTTTTTTCTGGATTTCATATTGGCAAAATCATCAATTATATTCTGAAAATCAATATTTCTTGTTAGATCAGACTCAATGGTCAACAAGGCTAGGTTACACAATTTGTCTTGGCTCATTGTTGAACGGAGCTGGTTTTTCACCTTTTCAAAACAGAAAATGAATGTTCTCCTTCACAGTTAGTAGCTGGAAGTGTTAGGTAAAGGCGATACACTATGTCAACATTAGGGAAGGTTTCTGAGATATCTGCATTTCTTAAATGTTTCAAAGCAGCTGAGGGCGCACATTTTTCAGGTGGAGCTTTAATCTGATTCATATACCCAGAAAAATGAACTATTTCTTCAACAAATGTGTCCTGAACATCTGCTGAAAGGTGTTGTTGCAACTTTAATGGAGCTTCTCTCAATTCTGCATCTGACATAGTAGTAATTTTGAACAGAAATTCAAACCTGTCATTGAGATTCTGGTAGATTTCTTTCCTTTTCACCAATTCTGTAATCAGTGAATCCAGAATGACGAAGTATGTAGCTGTCTTACATTTCTGCCTTGGTAGCAACACAATTTCATTGTCTGGCTCTTCAAAATTGCGTTTCCTCTTCCTTGACCGCTGATGATCAGCCCGGTAACTGTAGTCTTTCACCAGCAGTTTAGCTTTCTCTTCAAACATTTCAAAAGCATCATCACTGCGAAGTGAGCTTACAAATTCCACTAAGCCTGCATAGAGGTTAGCACAAGTAGCCATTTCAATTTCAATTTTCTGAAGTGTCTTGTTCGTGGCATTTAACCATTCCAGTATACAGTCCCAAAGCACACAGAGTAAGGCCAATTCAAAATCTTCCAATTTTGATGCTAAGCTGGCTGCTTCGCTTCTTGTAGTTGCTGTCTGATCTTCATCCTCTGCTATTTGGATCAAAGCAGAACGTATTTCAGCAAAGCTGTCTTTCAAAGCATGTGTTGGCATCTGCTGCGCTGACCGCCTTGTTGTTGATAATGATTTGATGACATCTCCATGAATGGTTGACTTGAGTATACTCCACCGATGCATTGAAGCAGAGAAAAAATTAAAGAGTGCTTGTAAAAGTCCAAAAAATGAAACTGCAGCGACACAACACTCCGCAGCACATGACCCAACAAGATTAAGAGAATGTGCTGAGTAGGGCACATATTCAGCAAGTGGGTTGATTTGCTTGATACGGGCTTGCAATCCATTATATTTATCCGACATGTTACTTGCATTGTCGAAGCTCTGGCCACGGCAATCCATAATAGAGAGATCATGTTCAAGCAGAGTATCCAGTACTACATTCATCATTGTTTCTCCAACATGGCCTGAAAGAGGAATGAATTTTATAAAGCGCTCTACAGGCTTACCACTGGAGTCGACAAAGCGAACAATGAATGTCAATTGATCTGTATGTGAATATCTGGTGTTGAATCTACACTTATTGCAAAGTATTTTGCAGTTTTCACAGCTGCTATGATGTTATTGAGGACCTTCTTAGTCATCAGTTCAATAAATTCATTGCATATAGTAGATGACACGTAAGATACAGTGCCTCTTCCTGCATTCCCAAGGCATGACACATGATTTGCTAAGAATGGATCAAATTGTGCTAACAGTTTTATGATCCCTAGGAAATTGCCATTGTTTTCCGAACCAAAAACCTCATTTTCTCCACGGAAAGTAAGTCCTCTTAGAGCTAAGAATTTTACAACAGCAACAACTCTTTCTAGAACTTTTCTCCAATAAGTGCGCTCTTTTTCAGTTTGATTTTCCAAATGAGAATCCAATAAGCCTTTTTTCTGTGCACGAAATACACTGGCTAAAATGCAGCTCCTGTGAATGGTGTTGTTTTCATGTTCCTCGAAACGCTTGGAATTTTTCCAGTCATTGAACCCCTGTGTGAAGGTATTTTCTTTGGTAGAAAATAGCTTGCATGCTGAACAGTACACTTTTCCTGAGCTTTCAGAGTATACATCCATGATCTTTTTCACAGTTTCTGAATTTGCAAGCTTCCTATAAAACATAGATGACTTTAAACAACGACAACTTCCATCATCATAAATCCTTGCTGATTTCCTAAAGTCAATGTTCAGAGTTTGACTGAAGTTTTCTGCAATGAAAGCATTACGTAGAGAATCTGGGATTACATTTGGCCATGAGGCAGGATCTTTTAAGACAAATCCTGTGGATGAAATGTCCGTTGAGACATTGAGAGGAGACACAAAAGAAGTAGATGCTGGCTGAGAAATAATGGGGGGAGGGCTTCCTGTATGATCTGACGTATCTGCAGATTCAACTATACTGGTAACATCAGAAACTGTTTTCGTGAGCATGTCTGTGATCTTTCTGCAGCTTCCTACATCTTTCTTTTTCTGTTCTTCTTCTTGAGTTTTCTTCTTTCTTTTCTGTGACCCACTTGCATAAGAACGTCCAACATCACGTTCACGAGATGCCACAATGAGGATGTATCACTGTCTGTAATCATGCAAATACAATACAAATTTTTCATTATCAATTATTATTAATTTTTTAATTATTATTAAAAAATTTTTTTCTGTCAGTTGGGGGGATATGGCCCTTGTAGCCCCCTTTCCTCTGGCTGCGCATCTAAAAATTCAAAACGTTACCGGAAAGGAGTCATATACAGAACTTTTACCATAGATTAGGTTAGTGATTTGGGCTACGAATATTTTACTAATTCATCCTCCTTGATCTCCAATTTACTTATACAGAAATCATACTGAGTCCAAGAATAATGCACAATGGTATTTATATTACCATTTTCATAACTAAACTAATCATTATGTTTTGCATGATATATGGCCTACCACCATAGATAAGGACATGAGAATTAAAGAATGCAGGGACAATTTTCAGTTTCACCCAACCAACGATTTTCTGATGTGGCTTATGTGTTTCTGGGGAAATATGTAGTAAAGTAATTGATGTTCTACATCACTTCCGTCACAACTTGAAAACTAAGCATTTGCGACGGAAGTGATGTAGAACATCAATCAATTGAGATCTGTTATTGAAATGATAAAGACTTAAAGACAGGACAAAGTGCTTTTAAAACCTACAAACGGAAGTCAGTTTGCGTTTTTAGGTTTTTCTTTATAGTATTTTTACCAAAAATGCGTCTTTACTGGTCCATGCGTCTTTACTGGTCAAGTAACCCTATCAGGTACCTCCTTAACATTTAGAGGCGAAAACAAACATTTATCCATACACATCAATGTCTATCAACAACACTTCAGTTAATTTGTCACAGTACAAGTCTAGATAACATGTAATTACTACAGAAAATTGGAGAGGAATCTCCCATACTCACCCATTAGCGGGAAAACACAGCTGTTCTGATGTAAACAAAGGCGTGTTGAGTGTTGCCATCTATGGTTAGGTTTATTTATTTTTATTTTATTTTATTTCATTATTTATTTTTGTTTTGATTAATTTTTAAAAATCAATTTTACTCTCCAAACACTTGAACTTTTTAGGTAGGGACCCCTTTGCACTTGCACCATGTGCGCAGTCTTGGATGAGCCCCTGAACCCCTTGGACTGCGGGGCCCCCAAATGCGCGGGGCCCTAGGCAAATGCCTAGTTTGCCTATGCGGTAATCCGGCCCTGGATATAATCATGTAAATAGTTTATTACCACTAACTTGTTCAGTTTTTCATCTATCAAAATTTTGCAGCCCAGTCCCTGGGCCCATCATGTGCCTCTGTAATCTTTTGACTACCACCCACAGGATGGATATAGGGTGCATAATAAAGATATTAAACTAACTAGAAATGGTTGTAAAGAAACAATATCAATGTTATGCAGTGGCCAGGGAACATCCTTGACCTGAATTCCATCAAAAATTGTTGGAATGAAATGAAAGTACAGCTCCATAAAAAAAATGTGGACTCAGAGATATGGACTCGACTGACTTTTAGAAACTTTGATTCCATGGCCAACTGCCTGAAATTGATAACTGTATCAGGGGGTGTTAATGTTGCAGTTTTATAACTGTAGTGTCAGCATGCCTTTAGCAAGAAGGCACTGGACAGGCACCTAAAGTCAGTATCTGACCAACTGGGCTGTGGTTCGTACGTCAGCTTGCGTGCAGCCAGCAATAACAGCCTGGTTGATCATACCCTGATCCACCATGAAGCCTGGTCTCAAACTGAGCTGCGGGGGCGTTGACTCCGCGCCTGAAGCCAGCAAGAGTGCGCAGGTACAGGCCAAGATCTGACGGTCTGGAGGGTCAAACCCCTCCCCATTGAGAAGGAGAGGTAGGGTTAAAGACTGCACCCCAAACGTGGGCAAGGTCGCACGGAGAATAATCCATGCAGAGTGGTAACGTGGGCACCACAGTAGGAAGTGTCCCACCGTCTCAGGCAGTGAGGGACACCACGAGCAGTGCAGAGTCTGTCATCCGAAGGCGGTGTAGATAAGCTGCCAGTCGTCAGTGTCCAATCCGGAGGCCTGGTGGTTAACGCTCTCGCTTCACACGGTGAGGGCCTGGGTTCGATTCCCAGCCAGAGTAGAAACATTGGACGTGCTTCTTTCCACCTGTTGTCTATGTTCCCCATCAGTAAAATGGGTACCTGGGTGTTAGTCGACTGGTGTGGGTCGCATCCTGGACACTGACCTAAGGAGGCCTGGTCACAGACCGGGCCGCGGGGGCGTTAAGATAAGAGAGATAAGATTTCGTTCGGATTTTTAACCCCGGAGGGTTAGCCACCCAGGATAACCCAAGAAAGTCAGTGCGTCATCAAGGACTGTCTAACTTATTTCCATTGGGGGCCCTTAATCTTGTCCCCCAGGATGCGGCCCACACCAGTCGACTAACACCCAGGTACCTATTTGCTGCTAGGTGAACAGGACAACAGGTGTAAGGAAACGTGTCGAATGTTTCCACCCGCCGGGAATCGAACCCGGGCCCTCCGTGTGTGAAGCGGGAGCTTTAGCCACCAGGCCCCGGAATTCTCTCCAGGTAAACATCCACCGAGCGACTGGGATGGAAAGCCCAAGGGTAAGGGGGCCATTGAAAGATCGGACAGAGCTCAATGCCAAAGAGAGGAAGCGCATCAGATCCTACTGCCATAAATGGCGGATTTCTCCCCTGGGCAGGAGGGGGTTTACCCCCATAGGGGCGAACGACATCCCAGTCTCACTAGAAATGTCCCAAACACCGCCTGATATGAAGAAATCACTGAAAACACGCACACAAGAAAAGAAATACGATGAAGAGCCTAAAACAGGACCAACACCACTAACAAACAACTGAGAAACCTACAAAAAACACGTGTACACCCCTCCCAATGCTGGCCGAGCTCTCCAAAATGAATGGCTGTTATGGCAGCTGTTGTTGGGGTTTAAAGGGCCACTCACTGCTTACCCAGCAAAGGACTGTACCATCTGATACCCGAGAAGGAACGATAATAATATAATAATCTTTATTTCTACAAGTACATGATACAACATATACAGGCCTAGCTGTCATTAGTGACATACTATATAGGAAGCTCCTTGTTATGCAGAGCATTTCGGGTAACTTAGGTTAATTTTGTCCCCAGGATGCAACCCACGCCAGTCAGTTAACACACAGGTACCTACTTATTGCTAGGTGAACAGGGACAGAGGTGTCTTAAGGAAACATGCCCTAATGTTTCCACCTGTACCGGGTGAAAGCACGGAACTCAACGTGTGAGGTGAGTGCAATACCAACTGGATTTTGTAACGGAGGGCTATCCACAAAGAACAACCCAAGAAAGTCAGTGTATCATCGAGTACGATCTATTCCATTGGGGTCCTTTAATCTAGTCCTCCAGAATGCGATACACAACAGTCGACTAACACACAGGTACCTACTTACCGCTAGGATTTTAGATTTTGCCACCGAAGTGGCTAGTTTATTGTGCACCCCATATCCGGTAACCAAGGACAGCAGGTGTAAGGAAAGATGCCCAATGTTTCTACCCATGCCGGGGATTGAATCACGGACATTTAGTATGTGAGGCGAGAGCGTTGCCAACCAAGCAATGGACAAAATTTAAGTGGAAAAAGAAAACGGTAGAGTCGTCAATAAAAATGAGGGGAACACACGTTTCCACTTCGGTAAGGTGATCCTTCCCATCCTACGTGAACCCCGACAAATTATTATTATTATTATTATAATCAAGGGGGAAGCGCTAAACCCGTAGGATTATACAGCGCCCAGGGGGGGATGTGGAAGGCATTCAGGCTTAATTCGGGGAACTGGAGCACAGATTCAATTCCCTAAATCAAGAGCCCCTCACCAACATCAAGGAACCTTCCATGAGGGGAACCCCGACAAAGCCACACAACTACTCCATACCCGAGTCGGTAATCGGCTTGCTCATTTTACAGTGGCTATGCAGAATAAGAAAGCTGATATATATCGCAAAGACCATTTATTTACTTTGTCTTATACTTAAGTCTAATCATAGATTCACTATAAATCTTATAATTACAAGCACTGATCCTGATATTGTATTATGAGAACAGATTATCCAACTTACGAGGTGATATAAAAAAGACCTGGAAAACCCTATCAGAAATTCTAGGAACAAAAAAGATATCACGAAATAGCGAAATAAAATTAGCAAAATCAGATGAACCCCAACTCCCACCAACAGAAACAGCAAACAGACTCAATGACTTCTTCTCCACTATAGGACAAAACCTTGCCAATAAAATCCCAAGCTCAGATACCCCACCAAATGACTACCTCACTGGCAACTACCCGAACACACTGTTCCTAGCTCCGACTAACCCATACGAAGTCTCCCTTATTATCAACACGCTAAAAAACAAGGCAGGAGATTTAAATACCTTACCACCCTTTATATACAAAAAAGTGTCACAAGTGCTATCACCAATCATTGCAACACTCTTTAACAAATCCATTGAATCCTCCACCTTCCCCACAGTACTCAAAATAGCAAGGGTCACCCCGATCCACAAAGGAGGAGACCAAACAGAGTTGAATAACTATAGGCCAATATCCAACTTACACCCTCTCTCAAAAATCTTCGAAAAATTAATTCATAAACGAATCTACTCCTACCTTATCTCCCAAAACATACTCAACCCTGCCAATTTGGATTCAGGCCAAATAAAAATACTAATGATGCTATTATACACATGCTAGAACATATATACACTGCAATAGAGAAAAAGAAGTCCACTGGGGATCTTCATTGACTTACGTAAAGCTTTTGATACAGTTAACCATGACTTGCTCCACGTAAAATTGTCACACTATGTATAAGAGGGCACTCCCTCAACTACTCAAGTCATACTCAGCAACAGAAGCCAATATGTGTATGCAAATGGGGCAAACTCTTCTGCACAACCAATTACAGTTGGTGTCCCACAGGGAAGTGTCCTTGGCCCTCTTCTCTTTCTCCTATACATAAATGACCTACCAAATGCTTCGCAATTACTCAAACCCACACTATTTGCAGATGACACTACATACGTCTTCTCCACCCGAGCCCAGTCACGCTAGCCAATACTGTAAATACAGAATTACAGAAAATATCTACCTGGATGAGGACTAACAAACTTACACTAAACACTGAAAAAACCTACTTCATTCAGTTTGGTAACAGAGCTACAGATGTCCCTCTTAACATAATGATAAACGGATCACCTATCACAAAGCTAACAGAGGGAAAATTCTTAGGAATCCACCTTGATAATAGACTCAAATTTTCATACACATATACAACAAATTTCTAAGAAAATTTCCAAGACTGTAGGCTTTACTATCGAAGATACGGTACTATGCTCCACAGTCAGCCCTCCTGGCCCTATATCACTCTCTTATTTACCCCTATCTCACCTATGGAATTTGTGCATGGGGCTCAACAACAAGTAACCATCTCAGACCACTAATTACCCAACAAAAGGCTGCAGTTAGAATGATAACAAATTCTCACTATAGGCAGCACACTCCACCAATATTCAATACACTAAACCTATTCACCATACAAAACATTCATACTTATTACTGCACCTATTACATACATTAGAACACTTAACTCTGATATTAACCCTCCCTCAAACATCTCCTTGCCAACCTCAACAGAACACATGACCATAACACAAGGCACAGATCACTCTTTGATGTTCCTCGTGTCCATCTCACACTATGCAAAAACTCAATGCACATAAAAGGCCCTAAAATCTGGAACTCACTACCTGTAAATTTAAAAAAAACACTACCTGTTTATAATTCAAGTCTCTTCTCAAAGATCACTTACTCACCCAAAACCAAATAAAATTTCTGAATAACTGAACCTTATAAATTGTATATCTTAAATGTTTCTCACAATTATATCACATAAATGTTAAACCTAAAACCCAATCTAACTTTATTATTTTTAAATACACTACCTAACAGAATTACTCCATTCTACTGAATGTACAACAATGCATACAACCATATGACCTGTCTTTGTAATACTCACTTGTGCTTTATAGTAATCTGTTTACATTAAAGTTTTATCACCGATGTCATCATTGCTTAGTTCATCTTAAGTTAATTTTAAGCCAGCCCGTAATGCTATGCATAGTATAAGTGGCTTTGGCATACTGCTCTTTTCTGTATTTTTTGTACCTCTGTATGTGTGCACAAATTTTTAAATAAATAAATAAATAAATAAATCAAACAGCAACTGTAATTACTACACAGCAGGACAATCAAAGGCACCTCTCAGAGCCAACAACAATATAACTGTCTTTAACTACACTGTCAGATCTTTAAGCAAACATTACGATGACCTCACAGCATTACTAAATTCCCTGCATGCCAGTATGTCTATCATTACTCTCCCCAAAAATCTGGCTAAAGCCTGTTTACTACATATACAAAAGTCAAATGCCATTCCTGGTTACACAGCCATACACAACTGTAGGCCAGATAAAACAAGGTGGTGGCACAGCTATATACTACTCAGACCAACTAGAATGTATAATAATACATGTACAAGGGATGAACATGGGAATATATAATAGCTAAGTTCAAATCCAAATACCTACAAAAACCTCCCCACAGTGATAAACATCTACAGAGTCCCACAGTCAAACAGCCATTTTAGTGAAAACCTAGGAAGTATGATAACTGATGCACACATGAATAAAGATCACTTACTACTCTCAGGTGACTTCAATATCAATCTCCTGCAAGACCAGGATCCACACCCAGACCAGACCCACTCAACTATTGGATCAGTACGACAAGGTCCTAAATGCGCTAGAAAACAAAAAGAATGCAGATGTAATATATACAGACTTTGCAAAAGCCTTCGACAAGTGTGACCATGGCGTAATAGCGCACAAAATGCGTGCTAAAGGATTAACAGGAAAAGTCGGTCGATGGATCTATAATTTCCTCACTAACAGAACACAGAGAGTAGTAGTCAACAGAGTAAAGTCCGAGACAGCTAGGGTGAAAAAGCTCTGTTCCACAAGGCACAGTACTTGCTCCCATCTTGTTCCTCATCCCTGAGTGCTTTGGGGATTAGCGTGGGACGGTTTTCAAAGCAAGGCTTGGGTTCTACAGTGTTTTAAAAGCTGAGGTTGGAGAGTTGAAGGAGGAGGTCTTGCTTTTCCAGGGGGAGATTAGGAGGCTGAAGGTCCACCTCAATTTGGGCCTGGGAGAGAGTGTGAGGTGGTTGGAGAGTGGGGGGAAAGAGGCTTCTAGCAGTGAGGTGCAGTCTGTCTCTCCTGTGAGGAGGCTGTAGGTGGGGTGGTAGCAACGGCTACCAGCAGTGAGGTGCAGCCCAGCACTGCTACAAGTGGCGAGTTGTTCACAGTAATGGGAGGCGCATCAGAGTAAGGAAAGTTAAGAGTTTCAGATCTGAAGGTAGGAAAATCGCTTCTTCTGTTCTCCAGGATGAATGTACTTCAGTGGCCAGTGAAGGTAAGGGTACTACTGCCCCTGCTAATGAAGGTAAGCGCATTCTTGTGGTTGGTGACTCTCAGGTAAGATATGTTTGATCGTGCTTTTTGTAATAGGAATAAGAAGATGAGAGTAGAGTGTGCTTCCCCGG